TTTTAACTGAGATAAGTTAATTTTATTTTCTATCTTAACTTCAAACTTATCTAGTTAGTAGTTAAATGTTTTATCTTTGTTAACTTTTAACTTAACTGAAGGCAATTTAATTGAATCAACTTAACTTTCCACAGTTAATTATTTGCATTAACTTGCTCACCATTGACTATTGGAGTAAAATAGAATATGCATCTTTTACAGCTTTAATTAGTGTGCGTGCCTGTAAGAAAACTATTAAATTAAAACATACAATAAGAGAAGGTAAGACAGTTGTAGACACATTAATTTTTAAATATTAATACAATTTTTTTTAGCGCTAAATTAAATGATGATCTCTGTATATTTTCTAAGTGATTATTTTTGAATAAATTGATTTAAAGCCGGGCTTAGTACCCGAATCATTTACTTGGGTGTTCAAACACGAGAATATAAAATTCAAACAAACATAGGGGTGTTAATAACCATTATTATTCGTGTTAACATTGGTTAATACGGGTGTTAAGTAGTTCAGAAAAAACATAATTTTTTATCCTTATTTTTATTAGATATATAATTTTTTTTAATTGTTTAACCCTCCTAGTCATTATATTGTTATCATTAATCAAATATTTAAGGGGCCTGCACGCGACCTGTTTTTTTGCTCAAAAACATGCCTTACAGGAAAAACTCTCACGCCTCGTAGATTGGTCCGATTTCCGTAATTTTTTTTTGTTAGATAGAGGAAGACTTCTTACAGGGCGCATTGGACTTGGATTTTCAAAATTATTTTTCTAAGTCTGATGTTACAAGTTTGAATTTAATCAATTTTTACAACTTTTTAGTTTTTGTATTATTTTTTGTTTTTAGCGACGTAATCAAAAATCGAAGTCCAATGCGCCCTGTAAAAAATATTCCTCTATCTAACAAAAAAAAAAATACGGAAATCGGACCAATCTACGAGGTGTGAGAGTTTTTCCTGTAAACTGTGTTTTGACCGATATAATACACCCTATCAACCCCCCCTAAATAGGTATTGGGTAGTAGATTAGTGGAAAAGTCTTATAATTGAGGTGGCAACTAAAATATAAAATTTAATTTTCAAATTTTATAGAATTGCGGAAAATTTGAAAAATCGCGAGCAGGCCCCTTAACAACAAAATTAAACTAATCACATTATAATATAATGATATATCACAAGACGATTGTAAAATAAATAATAATTAGGATTTCTGGTTACCCAGGGTGTTCTAAACATTATAGAATCAATCGGGTTAGATGGGTTTCGGGTGTTTGATTTTTAAGGGTTTTAAGGGTGTTACGGGTTCTGGTGAATGCGGGAACAAGGACCTGGGGGTGACTATAGGGTGATTTCCCACTTTAGTATTCTACCTCAATTTTTCATTTTTGAAGCTTCTTTTTTTATGATTAGCTTGATTGTCGAGCTAATTTAGACACTGTTAAATGTTACAACTGATCACTATTTGAATTTCAATAATTGATATTTTAAATGGATTACATAAATACACAATATTGGCCTGGACAGCTGCAGTACTGTATTTTTAATTACAATTGTCATGGATGTAGCCAAAAGTTATACAGTTTAGCAACTGTGATATAAAACTTCATTACCTAACCATTAATCAAGTAAAATTTAGAACACTGAACGAGTTGATTACTTGGTTATAATAGCTGTAAACATAAATGGTTTATATTATGCAGTTTATTAATGTATAAATTATATTGTTATTTGAATTCAAAGTAATTAGAAAAATGTTAGTGTATTTATATTATAATGTTTTGTAGAGTTAAAAACTAGTTATAAATTATAACTATTTTAATGAATGAGCTTTACCATATTTGACTCATATCTTTATTCGATACTTTCATTCCATTCTTAATTCTTTTTATGAATCTACAGATACTAAAATATGGCATAAAACATTCAATTTACGTGTATCGCTTGATAGGTAATTTGATTGTTTTCTAATTATGAGTAGTAATCTGTAGTATAACTACTGACTAGTCTAAACTATACTCACCAATTGGTATATAATACAATTGAGTAAGTAATGACATTTGGCCATTGATTAAGGTTCCTAAAAAAAATTACACAAATAGAATATTCTTAAATGTTTAATTATTTACTTATTCAGACAGAAATTGTGTTAGATATTAAACAATTATACAATTTAATGAAATGAACTAATATTTTTAGATAAAATGTCCAAAAAAATGTATCGATAACGACGATAACAAGTTTTAATATAAGCCATTCAGCTACAACAAAATGAATGCAAAGTTAGTTTTATATCTAATTTCATAACAAATTGAATATAATATAATAATAATAATAATAATAATTGGCACACTGATTTTGAGTTGATTTTAATAAAAATGTTTAAAGTGCCTTTATAATATAATATATAATATTATTATTCTACAAAGTTTATGCAAGAAACGCGTGACCCTGTCAGAAGGTGCACCTAAATTAGGTTGAGACCAAATAAATTAGTAAAAATGTTTTATCATTTTTAAATAATTAATTTATGTTCAGTCTTAATTCTATTATCACAAAAGACAAATAATGTTTTATATATAATGTACTAAACGAAGTTAATAACAAGTTTCGTATAAAATTTAACAATTTACAACACGTTCAATAATGACATAATGTAAAGTAATGTTTTGTATTGTGCAAGTGTAAAGCCTACATATACAATATACTAGGTACATAATATTATTATTACTAAATTATTTAGGTATTTTACAATTAACACCGTCTAATAAAATCTAGCTGACTATATAATAAGTATATAATATATATATAAGTGCTTGATTAAGGGTGGATGGGAGTCCCTCATAATTTATAATATTATATAAATAAAATATTATGCGTACCTCTGATAATTATATCCTAATCGATAAGACATTTAAATATTCAGATAGATATGCACAATTTTTTTTAGAAATCACCATCCCCCTTCAAATTGTTATCCAATTCGAGCATGTATATATATATATATTATAAAAGGTGCGCCGAATTAGATAGTACTACACAATATGACAAGAACAAAAAGAATACGAGACGAATGTAATAGGCAGGTATAGGCACAATACGTTTAAAAACGCCTACGCAAAAAAATAGAAGTTTTCTTATAATAATAATAATTATTATGTATATTAAAATTTAAAATAGTCGACGAGAGCATCGGGAATATTTCGCGTTCGGTCTCCGGTTAAGAGTTCCGAAAAATTGTGAAATTACCAGGTATTTTCAAAATTCCGAGGGAAAACTACTTTACCGTTGTTTTTCTTTGCACACGTAATTTATTCGACATTTGTGGGTGTACGCGAGTGTAACAGAAACAACTGACAATTAATGTTATTAATACTAACTTTATGTCAAAATGTTTGTCTTTCGATAATCGTTTTATATACAGTAAGTTGGGTAACTATCTAGTTTAAATGTATCAGTTCTTTCTGTTACACATATTATAGGTAAGGATATGCGACGTATGTACACGTATGTATAGGGATAAATGTAAATTACAAAAAAAAATAAAAATAAACCTGTCGCTAGCGTGGGGTCGTTTTTCAGTCGTTCTACCCAATAAATTATAATAATATATTGAAAATGTTTCGGCGAACTCCGTGTTCACTGGTACGTTTACATAATAAAATACATGGGATTATGGTTGTGTACTTGTGTACATCTATATTTACAGAACGTGACGGGAAGAAACGCGCACGTCGAAAAACGGCGCAGCTCAGTGCCCCCCCACCCATTCATCCCCTGCACCATTAAAGCAATGCAGAAAGCCTGAACTGCGGGTAAAGGTGGTCAAATGTCTAGTGAGGATCATACCACTATAAATATAATAATACCAGCCTTCCGATCAGGATTGAAATAAATACAGTACACCGTTCAATCCGGATTGTACGCCGACCAGCTTGAATTATCTGAAAAATCTGTTTCGAGATTTAAACGAACGACGGACTTAACTTTCTATACCGAATATGCAGTGTGAACATAACTCATAATATCGTTATAGGATATACGATATGCACGTATGTGTCTGCAGCAGTCGTCGTACTATATTTGTCATTTGACAGTCCATTTTGGCGATTTCGTCCCAAGAAAAATGTCATAAGTCAGGGTACTTGTTCGAATATAATATATAGATCGAATCCGAAACCCGGATTATTATAATAATAATAATATATAATATATTAATATCATTTTTTAATTATCTCTTGCACCAAACTTTAATACTGTGATATTATTATTATTTACTACCTTCGTATAAAATCCGTGGGTATACACGCATTGCATTTTATATCTTTATCGTTTTTGAGGGATTTTGAGAGGGTGTGGAGAGGTAGAGCGGTACCTACAATGACGAGAGTACAATATGTACCTACCTATTATATATTATACCATGTGATCCATTTAACGTAGGACACTCATTATTTCTAAAACTATTAATGTTTTTTAAAATATGTTTTCGACATTTTATAAAAATTGGATTTTGGACTAGTCGTTTATGAGGTAAGTATTTCAAGTTCATTTGAGCAGAGTAGATTGGTACCTACTCCTGGTAGTCTGCAAAATGTTGGTTCACTACTCTGCTCATCCATACTTTAAAGTTTAAATACTTATTATACCTATACTTATAAATTAATTTATGTCCAAAATTCTATTCTTATAGATCTAAATACTTCAAATAATATTCTGTATCGAAATATGAAATTCAAAATGTATGTTGATATTCAATAAGAGTAAAATCATAATTTTTCCAGAAACGTCGTTTTGTAACGACTTATAAGTTATAATTATTAAAAAAAAAATATTTGTTAGTGTTCGGTATCTGAAATAATGAGAAGTGTCCAACGTTAAATGGATCACTCCGCGTATACAAACAGTGCGGTGGTGTAGCTTACAATTTATTACCTAGTTATAACTTATAATACTAAGGTAGGTGAGGTATAGGTACTCAAAACGTCCTATCCTCCGCGGAAGGCTATGACTGTAGGGTGAGAGTGACGGACGCGACCGCTTCGTTGAGCAAGGCGACCACCTGATCGTGTTCCATGCCGTCCACCGGCACGCCGCCGACGGCCAAAATCCTGTCGCCGCGGCACAGCCCGCTCGAGTCGGCCGCGCTATCGGGGAACACCGTCTTGACGTAAATCGGCAGGTGATCGTGACCGCCGACGATGCTGAACCCGAACCCGTCCATCCTACGTACCATCGTCACGGTGCGCGTTTCTGCCATTGACGCCGCCGAGTCGCTGTTGGGTCGTAATAACGATAGGGAAAAAAAAATACAAAAACACTACATTAATTATAGTCGATATATAGGTAATAACATTATTGGGTCGTCAAATACCGATTACCATGATATTAGTATATATAGGTACTATACACTTAGCCGATAGGCAAGGTAGGTGTGTATATAAAATGTAAATAATATTTTAAAAGGTAAGTCGGCCGACATATCATATGTTGAGTATATACTAATAATATATAGGTATATATGTGCCTAAATTTAGGGGTTATATAACTGCAGGTTTTAAGCCCAAGTAAGGGGGACCGCAGACTGCTACTCGGTGATCCGCGTAGTGTCGTAGTAGGCTTTCATTTTTTTCCCTCGATAACCCATGAATAATTGTTTTCGAATAATATTTAAAATACTCGATGGCTTATGGAATCACCGTTTAAAGTTTAAGCTATTGTAGATATTTTATGTTAAAATTTAATTTTTTAATGCATATATGAGTAATAATGAAAATTGTTTTAATTTGAATTCTACATTTATCATAGGTATCAATATGAAACGTAGAAACAAGCATATAATATTTTTTTGGATTTTTCTAGGGTTATAGTTATTGATGATTAAAAAACTCGTTAAACATTGGTAATATCATTGATTTATGATCAAAAGAAATGGCACCGGTTTTCATTAAAGTAAATTAATCGAACTTTAGTGTACCTATATTATATATTGAATTATTGACATCCACGTGCAGAGCAATAACATTTTTGATTCCATTGCCACTAAATATTTCTGAGAGTCTGGTTTATTACAATTAGTTCAAAGTAAAAACTAAATCCCATTAAAACTAAAAATAATATAATCAAAATAAAATTTTAAAAATTGGTTGGAGAGGGGTAAAAGTCTGTGGCTATATTTGTTATCTTAAAGAGGTCCATGTCCAAGAAATGGTGAAGAATCGACATATATATTTTAAATTCTGATATATATTATGTATTTGTTCATATTTCATTGGAACCAGCTGCAGGAAAATAATAATAATAATCGTGCCCCGCTCTCCTGTAATTTACGAATAGTAATTGTAATTTATCACTTCATATTATTGTGCCGGAAGTTAGATTTTTTTTATGCGGGAGGTGGGGAGCTTCAGAGGTGTTCTATATGTGTCATCGTTGTCTGATGATAATCGCTTGTGCTTGTCTTGATAATATTATCGTTGTTCTGAATGTCTAATGTTATAATATCATATACCTACTCTATCCTCGGAGCCCATATTGCAAGGGAGTTATTGAAAATGTACAAATTCAATTGTAAATACCTATAGTGATGTAAAAATATAATATACATGGCAAATTATGAACGTCAACAAAAAATGTGTTTTGAGTTTAGAACTCATCGTCTCAGAATGAAAAAGTTTTAACGAAATTTTTGTAATTGTTTAGGGGAACGTTTTTAAGTTAGCCCGTACCTATCATTCATTCACGTATGAATTAGAACCTTTTCATTCTCTGTATCACAATGAACAATCAGCGGATCGATAAGATTTCAAGATTGAATTATACAACAAAAACTATTAAATAATAATATGCAAAAAAATTGATTTAGAACCTTTTCATTCTGAGACGACGAATTATTGAAGCTATAGATATAAAGTCATAAGGGTACAACTCAGTAAAATAAATTTTATTTTCTAAAATAAACGAATGATAAAATATCATAATATAAACCTGAATGGGTGTAATATAGGTAGTCAATATTAAAAGCAAAATAAAAAATTGAAGGAAAGAAAATAGTAGTATTATAATTATTTATAATCTTATTTTCATAAGATTATATTTGACATTTGACATATAGGCACGACTATCTTTCTCCACCGCTAATAATTTGGGTATTAAGCATACATTCTTAAATTAATAAAACCAGTTGACGGGACACGATTATGCAGTTTTATACTAAGTGCTGAAGTGTTTATACATTGAAATAAATCTATATCGCAACGGAGCGTTATACTGGACTTTGTATAGGTACCTATGCGAGTTTCAAAATCGATAAGATTTCACAATAATAATAATTTTCCGATACATTATAGGTGTACGTTTATCTCGTTACCTATATCGACAAGTGACAACTGCAACAGCAGTATTATTTGCATATCTCAATAGGCACGCCTAGTACTGTATGTCTGCAGTATACCTACCTACCACGGTTTAAGATAGACTATCTTAAACCGTGCTTCCTACCCAGGGGCGCCTTCAGGTCAATTCTATAGGGGGGGGGGGAATAAATACCGTTTTGAATACCGCTTTTTACAATTAACAAAATACATAAAAAGTATTTATCTATTAGCAAAAACAGAACATCTCGGGGAGCGGACGCGCCTGTCCCTACCTACCTAATATTGCATGTAATGATGATGGTTTCATAATAATATAAGAACACCGTCGCCCTTAATCGATTACAATATGATGATGATGATATACATTATATTATAAATATTATAAAGGTATACAAACGGATAGTTAGGTATTGTCTGCTAAACGCACACAAGGCCGACGCGACGCCGCCGATTGGCAAATTTGCGATCAGCAGCAACACATCGGCATATTATAATAGATCTATCTTACCGTCTCATTAAGCAACTACGACGCGCATGGTTATTAATTTATTATAATATGCAACGTGGCCCCGAAACACAGCTGGCAATTAACCGAACTGTGCGCGTTAACGCGTTTAGCCACGCCAATGCGATAAAAATATATACTAAGTAATAACATATTAATATATATGTATACAATAATAATATAATAACAAGCACAGAACGAAAAAAAAATTTGTAAAAACTCACAACGACCATAATTCATGCAGTATAAACAAATAAAAAATCATCTCAGACGACAACAATACGAATGCACGCAAATATTACATAATAGTAACGAGTTGATAAGTGGCTCGTAACTATTGTACGTAACTCGTTACTAATTTACTACACACGTATATGATATCATCGGAATATAAGTTCTACTATAACAATATACACATATTATACACACGACTATATAGTAATTATTTCTACTGTGGACACTCCACAAAGGCATTTTACTTACAGAATATGAAAATCATTTTCTACACGTATTCCCGGAGGTTAGCATGAAAAAACAAAATTATATTGAGATTCTCGACGAGTATAGGTATCACATTATTATATATTATATATTATTGTGACATAATTCCGACAGATTTGTTTCTTCGTTTTTAAGTCTGTTGACTGCCCAACGCTTGTCATTGTTCGATATATATGCATTCATATCCCATATACATATATATTATAATTTATAATAATAAACACTAGGTAGTAGGTGTGCATGTATATCAGTGGCATAACTATGGCTATATAAGGAGTAAGGACCGCCGATATGGTCCTGCTGTGGCAACTAGACCTAAACGACTGACTCAAATGCTATTAAAGTTGTATAAAATAGAATTTAATTTTTTTTTATAGAAGCATTATATGTTTTTATGGCATAACCCGCCGTTTTCGCAAAATTTCAAACTTCAAATTGTCCAACTGTAAATGTTTGAAATGAAATAGAGTTCGGTATATTCGTAATTTAAAATATTTTACTATATTGTATATTTGAGCTGGATACCTACATGAAAAATGAAAATATATGATTTTTTCCCCCGATAAAGCCAAAAAGTAATTCGGTCGTTGGGCGGACAAGTATAACGCCCTTTTCCTTTTACTGAAATAACTAATTGCATATTATATGATATAATCATAGTTCTTAAAAACGAATTATTCATTTCCGGTACCTTTCAGGCCTATACCCATACCAGCGCTTACACGGTGGGAAAGAGAAAGAGGGAACTGAAAAATGTCACTACCTGCAGGTCAAAAAACCTGAAAAGTTAGGCCACTGATATAAATAACAATATACAATATTTAATGTCGACGCTTACTTGTCCGAACTAGACGTGGACGAGCGAGCTTTGAGACGACCCATTTTCAAAGTGACTCGGCCCGTCGCCGTCTTCAGTACGGCAGCGGCTTCTTCTTGAGATGCGTTCCGCAAGTCTTGGCCGTTGACCGCCAAGATCTGATCGCCTTTCATCAGACGGCCGTCAACGCTGGCCGCACCTCCGGCCACCTGCAAAAATACGTAAGTACTATATAGATAACCTAACACTATGTAGGTAACCGGTGGGTATATAATAGGTGTGCTAAATGGAAATCCGCGAAATTCTCCCGTATTTTATTATTATACCAAGACGGTCGCAATTATACGTCCTTCATGGTGTATAGTTTTTTTTTTTTTTATTAAACAATATGATTGAATACAGAATGAATATTTGTGAGATGCTACAGACTCTATAGTATAAGAGTATAAGACTATTGTTTTCTAATCTCGCGTGTTCCATGTACACGCGCATAAAAAAATTCAACTTTATTTTTACTATTAAACCATTTATATGGAAATTGTTTGAGCATTTATACGTTGCGTTTTAATTATACGCGTTGTACAAATATTTTAATTATATTATTTTTGTTTGTTAGAACTTTTAAAATCCATGCCACTTACAATGTCCGATATAAATATTCCCGAACCGGATTTCCGGCCCACTATGCTCAACCCTAGACCTTTGCTGGGTTTTTTTGTCAATTCCACATCGAACGCGTCCATGATATTCGTCGTGTCAGCGGAAACACGACCATTTTCGTCTGGAACGCACGACTCGTCTCTCAACACGACCATGGTCACCTTTGGGAAATTCAATATAATCAATTATATGTTATATGTAAGCAAACAGATAATGCTACATAAGGCAGTGTGCAAGTGTGCACAAGTATGAAATATTATAATAATATATTGCCATATTAGTACCGTTCGACGTGCGGCTCGGAAAAGAGTCTTTGCATGTCATTATAATAATTCCAAGGCAATTCTCTTTTAATGCGGATTTTTGAGGTTTCAAAAGATATATAAATTCTTACTATATTTAGGTTTTTAATTGTTAATTCCCAAGTACCAATTATTAGAATTCGGCTGCATAAATATAAAGTAAATTTAAATACATTATTACATTTTTACAACTGCAGCATTTTTAAAGTTTAGATAAGCTGCAGAGTTCAGTAAGTGCGGCACTAACTTTCGGAATATCTTCTTCTACCTTTTATTATATCTTATCTAAACCTAAAATGCTTGTAAACAAAGAAAAAATTCCGTATATTGTTGGTAAAATTATTTTTTTTTTTTAGCAAAAATATTGTCGGTATACAGAAGGTAAGAAAGAAAATATTAAGGTAATATAAAGGTAATATTATGTATAAAGAAGGCGTAAAAACGATTTCTTCTCAAAAACACAACAATTGCAACTTGGACACTGACAATTGATAGTGTTCTCTTTCGCTTCAGATTTAAAGGAATTACTTTGCAGATATAGATAGGTATATTTTTTATAATATAATCTTATAAATAATATGCATGATGCCATAAATCACGTTATAATATACCGTGTCGTAATGTTACAGGGCACATCTAATATTATTATAACTAGTATACCTTTGCCGGCGTTTGCCGTAAGACGCCCAACGCTTTGATATGCGTTATGCTCCTAAAGTCTTCCCCGTTCACCTCCACCAACTGATCCCCGGGCCTGAGTCTGCCGTCTTTGGCTGCGGCTCCGTCTGGATATACCTCGTGAATGATGACTACGTCCTTTTAACATACACAGATTATAATAAATAAAACATAATACTATAGCAGATTGCAGTGACACGACAACACGCGACTCAGATTTTTGTTTCACAAAAACGCAAATGTTTCTTATATATTATAGATTTATAGCCTACAGCTACTATATAGGTTTATGACTAGATAGCCTATAGGCATTTTTTGTATATAATCATCATTATTATTATTATTATTATTGTTAGGTATTAGTTAATAGTTATTATTACCAGTAATGTATCAGATCCGCCTACTATGCTGAGACCCAAGCCGACTTTGTCCTTGTTGATTTCGATCGTCGATTCGAAACCTGGTTTTATCGGGGCGGTCGCAGGATCTGGTGGCGGTTCGACTGAATGGTCCAAACAAACGGGTGATTGAGATTCTAAGATTTAAAATGGTTTTATTAATACTACTCGTATACACGCGTACACAACTGAACAATTATTTTTGTTAGTTTCTTTTTAAAACATTACTCACAGAGAAAAATAATTAATAACAACGATCCATGCGAACGTATATGCAAGAGCGTAGGTAATCATGCAGCAAAAATTAAATAAATTATATTATGTAGCTTATTGTAACAGAATCAAGACAAAAAAAAAAAAATAAAACGAAATATATTTTCGAGGATCACAGACTTACTCGGTTTTTCCGGTTGTTTAGGTTTATCGGCAGTCTTCTGGTCCGCAACCGTCACTCCCTCTTCTTTACGCGGGTTGCATACCACTAACGTTACGACACCCTCAGTCTTCTTCAGCAGCGATGACGCCTGCAAAATCACGTTTGTTCAATTAAAAATCGGGTTCTGAATTTTTATGTATACATTAAGTAGTTGTACACGTGTCGCTATTGTTATTACTTATTTTTATTACTCACTGCGTCGTACGTACTCCCCAGAAGTGTGTCTTTATTCACAGCCAAAATCAGATCGCCTACCGTCAGACCAGCCTGTAAAGGTAGGATAGACATGTTTGGAGTAAGAATGTTTGTAAAATAAATTGTATTACACTATTATATTATGTCGGTGGTAGATAAACCCATTTTTTTTTTTTTTTTTGGCAAATATTTGCACAGCTGAAATTACGTGTAACTATATTATAACGTTCTTTTATTATTATTATTACTACTATGTATTATGTTGCAGGAAAACGCGCAAAAATATAACACCGCGTTTTCCAGAAAACCATCATAATATAGTATTCACCTGTTCAGCTGGGCTTCCTTCTTGTATGTCGGATATGAATATGCCCGTCCCGAGTTCCGCGTGTTTCCCCTCTAAAATCATTATGCCCAAACCATGAGGACTCTGCAATAAAAATACAAAACGTTATTGCTATTATTTTAGTAAGCATTTTTTTTTTTTTTTTTTTTTGAATGACATACATACTACACGGTATTATATTATTAAGTGTGTCAAAACTCTATATTATATGTTCAAACTTAAAACACTCGCAGCAGTCATCAGACGCCATACACATATAATATTATATTACATTAAACGTGTTTAATAGAATAAAATGCATGCACAACGAAAATATAACGGTCAATGTTTACACCTTGTATATTATATTCTACTATGTATATTATATATTTTAGCAGGAGGGCAAACTCTTTGAGTGCTGCAGTATTGCAATGATAACGAAGATCGTTGAATAACTGACACGTCCTAGAGGTAAGTACTATAACTACTAAGTACCAACACACTACATCGTATTATATTATATTCCTACTTATTTTATGTATACATGAATACATGAATTATGAATATCGTTCACGTTTCAATAAATAAGATAATATCAGACACGTACGCAGATTCATCGGGATAGTAGTATGGTAAAATCGCGAATTCAATTAATTTATGTCAAAGGGGTAGTGCTCAGGGATGCTATAATCACCCGCTATAGTTTAATTTCAATGCCCACAGTTTGCTAGTACCAAAACGAAAAGGATTAAACAAAATGTATTCAACTTTTTCTAAACTATCGAAATAACACTACAATATAATTAATAATTAGGTATAATATCTTTTATAAAACAATTTGTACTTCATAATCAGGAAATAATAGAATGTTAGTTTTAGCTCTATATCTTCTTTAAATATTTTTAAAAAGTAAATTATTGATAAAAACGCTAGTTGACAATTGTTATTATTTTATTCCAAAAGTGAAAAAAAATTTTGTTTGAATTTTTAAAATTCACCGAATGAAGTGAGTACATCTTTATATTTTATTTTATTTGCTTTTTAATGCTGATATTTTAAACCGTAGTTATAATTTGTAAAATATCAGTTGGTTCTTCAGTCTGAACCAATTTATTGTTATGAGTGTATGTATAAAGTTAAAACTGTATACAATTTAATAACCATTTATCAAGCATTTATACCGGTTGATTTTTTAAACATGCTTACCTCCATTTTTCCCCTTAATATTACATTTATTCAAATTCTGATTTTTAGAATTTTTAAGATCTTTAATTCTAAAGATTATATTTTCAAATTCCTGATATATTTTGTACTACTTGAGGAGAAATATAAGACCCCCCCCCCCCCCCCCAGTAATTTTTACTGTAAATTATTTAGAAGGTAATTATTTTCTTGAATATTTTGATGGATCGAAATCAAAATTATAATATGTAGTTTCTGAGTTATTAAAATGTCTGTACTAAGGATAATAAATCCTTAAATATGGTTTTATAAAAATATAAGCTATATGTAATATTAGATGTACTATTCATTATACTTCCCAGACAGCATACCTAACCTAACCTAATGATAATATTATAATAGATCATTTTAACAAATTATTGATATTGATAGATCAATAGTATAAACTATAATTACTAAATTTTTCAAATCATATAAGCCCCCCAAGGCCCCAAATCTACTTAACCTATTGGCGTAGACATATTATTCTTAATACACAAAGTTATATAACTCAAAAACTATTCGTTAAAATTTTGTTTTAGATACATTAAAATTTTCAAAAAAATATCAGTTGAATAATTAAAAGTGAAAAAGTGAGCTCCTATTTGAAAAACAGAAGTTTGTATTGACAGAGGAACATCCTTAATAGTGGTACGAAAAATATGGTCTCCATGTGTATCCAAAAAATCCAAAAATCAGAATTTGAATATACGTATAGGTAATAATAATGTAAGCGCAAAAATATGGCGAGCATGCTTAAAAAATCACTCTGTATATTTCATATTTATTATTACTACAATAATTTGAATACGTTTTAATTTATATTATTTTTAAATGCAATCATAATATTTTGAAAGTAATTGATAAATGTATTCGAATTGACATATTTAAACTCTATACCAGACAATATCTGGTGATAGAAAAGGTGTCGATAATTGACCATCGATTCATACTAAAATTATAGTGGTAGCACGCCCCGATTTAATCTGTGAAAGTTGCAGAAAAACACGCTGAAAACACACATATAATTACAAAACAAATACATTCATCGCTCAGCTCAGAATCGAGAATACAAAAATAACGAAATCCGAATTAATGAACACCTACGTAAATAAACATGGCTTACTAATGAAAAATAAAAACTTTTATAATTAAATAGACACCTAACACTATAACTATTATTTTTAACTACTTATAAGCAAATGTTTATAGGTATCAACAAATTAGAATTTTCTTGAATTATTTAATGATGAAATTAAAAATACCAAACATTATTTTTGGAGGGTAGGTAATAGGTAGGTAATAATTATATACCCCTTATTGTGGTGATAGAAAATGTTAAACAATTATTAAATATAAAATCAATAAGTAGACTTCAAAAAACGGGGCACTTCAAATGTTTGAAAGGTATCTAATAGTTTCACTATTTCCACCCCCACCCATCCCAAATATCATCACTGTAGTTGAGTCAATCAATTCCAATAACATATCGAGGGGTTGTTATTTCACTAAATTAAGAAATTGCATTCTGCAATAATTAGAAATAATTATATAAATATCACACTCTATCCTTATTTTCAATTTTTTTTCTGAACGATTTGCCCTCCTACTTTCGTTATGGGTTACATTTTTTCTTAACGCAACGTTCATTATATGATATAATAATATGTATAAACAAAATAATAATAAACAAAACAAATTATACGCAGAAATAAAAACCATCATTCAACGATCCAGTGTGCTGTGTTATTTTACCTGTTGTGTGGGTGAATTTGTGATTTGGCCTTCGTATGTAAAACTGATACAGGGCTATAGGAAACATATCAAATCAACTGTACTACACAACATTATATATAAGTGATTAATCCTGTGATCATTAATTTTTGAGCGTGTTTATTTTATACGAATACATAATTTAGGTATATAATATATATATTATATATATATTGAATATATATATATCTAATGTTTTGGGTATGGGACAAATTAAATGCTGTGTTGGTGTGAACAAAACTCGGAGGTTTTTTTTATCAATTTCACAAAATTTATAATATATATAAATTAAATAGGTCTAAGATATACAGGAATAAGAGCCAAGTGCCCAAAATAATGTTATACAGGAGTGTAATTTTATATTTTACAAGGTTATAGTGTTTATATAGATTATAGGTAGGTATATATTATAATTTATGTTTATAGGAAACATCAAAACAGAAATATTTACTTTCTTCATAGTAACGATCCGTAGGCCTTTGTAATTGGCATACTTCTCCTCTGGTGTCTGCCAAAAAATCCATTATTTTAATTGTTATTGAATACAAGAGATGAAAATAATATAAAACTAGTTTAATTACTAACCTCGTCATCTAGTGTAATAGGAAACTGAGTGATCGGTCGCACCGCTAATTCGTCCAGGGCCGTAGGTTTCCTGCAGAACAAATTTAGTAATTAGGTTAAAATATTGGGTATACAAAAATGTCTGACTTAAATCATTAAGTGGTCTATACGTAAGTGGAAGGTGTGGAAAAAATGTAATCCATTAAAAAATGTTCTATATAAATGAACATTACAATAAATAATATAAAAACCAGAGTTTACCTTAGCACAATTATTTTGTATATTGGTCCCGGTATACCTTTGATTATGGCTGAGGCGTTTAGGTGACATCTTCCGTGTAAAACTACCCCATTAACCTAAAAAAAATAAATAATTTTCAACGTTTAAAACTTTTTAATCCATTAGGTTCATTAGGACGTTTTGATCGATTCGTTACTTAGAAACATAAATAAATTATATATAGCAGTGAACTACATAGGTACTATATTTTATTTTTTGCGTGTAGTATGGTCTGAGGGGACGCCAATCACAAGTCGAATAACATTAATGAAATTATACGATCCACAAATAATTTTATTATCGTATTATGTAAAAAGTAAAATATACTATAAATATTGTGTAGCTTTAAATTAATTGTAAAAAATGCATTTTTATAAAATTTTTGCCATTTTATAAATAATATTACAATATGTTCTATATTGCGAAAGTAAAACACTTCTCACCCATCTGGTAATTGAATGTTCATATAATCATAATTTAATACCAATAATAAAAGCGGAGCAATAGATCCGCCACTCACCAGGATAAATAGTTATTAATTTAGATAAATTGGTAAGTATTAGTTTGCGTGTTGTGAGTGACTGCGCAATATACAAAATGAACCTTAAAATAGAAGAATTTATAGTTTTATTAATAATTCTAAAACTTATTGTGCCAATTATATTTATGTTTAAAAAAAAATATGAAACTTACGTCGGACATTCGTTGAACAGAAAAATGAATGTGGCAAAGGCTGCCGTACCAGTTTCATTACAGAGCACAAATGAATTTTAGAATATAGTAATATGCATTTAAAAATATTCGCATAATACCGACAGTTGTCAAGTAGAAATTGAGCGTGCTTTGTGTTTTATGAAAGACAATATTACAAATAATTTCAAAGTATCTTAAAAACTTATTTGTTTTTTTACACATAATTTTTGGTGTCGAATGTCCATTGTACAGATGTCAATTGTTCTGCCAAATGTATATGGCCAATTGTCGACTGTCAAATGTCCGTTTCCCATGTATTATACTACCTATTTATACTATTTATACTATATTATAGCACTACAGTACTACGCACTATTATTATAATATAGGTAATGATCATTACTTATATTGATTCATATATGCGAGCAAACCAAAAATTATCTTTAAAAACCTAACACTTTTTGAATCTTTTATTGATAGGTAATAATTAATTAGGTACCTATACATATATCATCATGTATATTATATACCTATACACGTAAAATCGTAATCTGGTACAAAATCTCCGAATAACGTAAGAAATTTTAAATAAACAACAAGTACAATAACTACATGGTTATAGAAATAGATATTGTAATCTAAAAAAATGAAAGATATTTTGAAAATATTATTTAAAAAATAATAATAGTGTTTATGGTGCTTTTAAATTTGTGGTAAACCACATTTCTGCTTTTGCTTTAATCCGGGCAAGGTAATAGTTTTTGAAAAATTTTGACTTTTCACAAAATGGATATCAATTAATAAGACAATAGACAATGTTACCGCTGTTAAAAATCAACTTAAATAAAAAAAAAATATATCAATTATTGTAATTCTTTAATAAGCGCACTTACATATGCAAGAAATAGTCCCTCTATATTTGGAGGGTACCTAGTACCTACCTATATATAGTTAAAAATATAAAAAAGATTCATATTAATTGATAGTTCAATGGTTGATATAGAATTGTATTGTAGTTAATACAATTTTAAACGTGGAAATAAAATATAAATGTAGTAGGTAGGTACTTATTATTTTTAATACTATTTAATGTTATTTTATTTATATTTCTAATGCATTATAGCACGAAGATTGCAGAAATAATCTCATAATATAATTCATAGATTATTACTTATGCTTATTGTGTATTTACTATTACGTAATTATTAAAATTTAAACAATATTATGTAGAACGCATACCTACATTTGATGAATATAATAATTTGTTATAATTATCTACGTTTATCTGGGTTTAAATGGATAAATGACACATGGAGTGATGACATAATTTGTTAAAATTAGGAAATACAATTAATTTAAAAATCTGGATAGTAATACAGGAAATAATATTGAACAACATTGGCACGGTCAGGTCAGATTGACGAAGATAATGCACCGGTTATGGTTTATTATTATTATACATTTAACAACAATATTGAAAAATAGAACTCCGTTAAAACAGTACCTGCTAAAATATCTTTGATTTGATTTTTTTACTTCTATGTAAGGATATTACGAAGTAAGACTGTAAGAGTAACGTAAATATTAATTAGTCACCATTCTGAACGTATATAAATTATAATAATAATTAATAAGCAATAAACTAATAACAAAGAAAAATATTAGGTTCAAGAAAAGTAGGTACCCTGGTACCTAAAACCTAGTCTACTATAATAATTCATTAAGCTTAACAAGATCTATAATTGTTTCCAATTAGTCTAATAAAGTAAAATATACTCCAAAACTGTTATCTGTGAATCCAATAAACTTTAATCATCATCTATAGAGACATATATATCTAAACCATCATCAGGCACCTATCATTTTTAAAAAAGTACACAGGCGGGACTTATACGATATGATGTTCAAGGTCAAATTTTATAGATGATTCATTTTATGTTTATATATTATATATAATATATTTAATAGGTATATTATGTACAAACACAAAAAAAATCATTATAAGAAATCTTATAACTCACTCCTAAAGTGTTATTGAGTGGTAGTATATGTAATACTCTAATACGTATAGTAAAGTCTAAATTGTTTTATTATCAACTCGAATTTAAAAAGTAAAAAGAGCAATATTATTCTTATGTTTTTAGTATTTTACACACAAATGAAAATTAATGAACAGATAATTTATGCATAAATCATTTGATTTGTACTAAATAATAAAAAATAACTAATACAATAGTCTTGTAAATCGTAATCAACGTAAGTATCTTATACGTAATATGTCAAGGTTTCTTAAATTTTAAATATAATATATATTATACAATTCACCAACATATTTTAAGACGTAACTAATTTTGAACATTAGAAAATATAAGCTTTTAAATTATTTAACTTTGAATTTTTTAATATTTTTACGGTTTGCAGATAATATAATATAGGTTAATTAACAATGATAATTAATCCTATACAGCCGTGGGTAATTATTTATTAATTAAGTACCAGTAGTAGGTACATATTTTCAATATTGGCTAGTGAATTGTTATCTAAATTGTCCGATTTTTTTTAAAATGTGAATTGTGTTTATAATTATTTTAATAATGTGATTGGAAACTGAAATAGTTAAAATGAAATTAATGCAATAATCTAAGCAATAGTTGATATAATAAGTAGTAATTATAATACAGTAGATATAATATAAATTATCTGTTTAAAATGTTTATAATTTATATATTTTATTTATTTGTTTAATATGTACATATACAGAGCGCGCACGAAACCCATTACTCCAGTCTGTTTTTTTAATTTAAAAATAATGTTATTCATTTTAAGTACTTTTACAGTATTAATAAACTATAATAACTATTATATATATTTTTAAAAAATCGAATCTTTTATTGTTTGAAATCATGATGACTTTGCACTATTTTTTAAATGCAAACCACCCGTATTTGATATTATGAATTATAATAATATTTTATCAAAATGTCAATAATTAAATTGAATATTTGTACATAAACCATTTATTAGTAATCGTTTTTTTTTAAAAAAAAAAAAAAGCATTTAAAGAATGATAAGGGGTGTGAAGTGGCAAGGAATACACTGTGAAATTGTGTAACACTACTCCGAAATAGGTTTAATATACACTATAAAAAATAGTGTTATAATAGAACTTCAAAGCGAATTGTTTTTTTTTTTTTCAAAACACACCAATTGTCTAGATTAAATTTTCTTGTTTTTTGTGTTCAGTGAATTATCCTGTATATTTGTCATTCAATAATAAAAGTGAAAAAACGTAGCTAGACGTTAAAAAATGTTTTAAATTACCAACGTTCCTAGTTTCAAACTAAAACTTAATAGATAACTATTCAAATTTGTATTCATTTTATAGAAATTATATTTCTTCTTAATTACTGCTGAAGTTTGTACCAATTCATACATTTACATTTACTTTAAAGGTATACCAATAATAGTATGCAATGTTATACTGCCATTAATTTCTGGTATATTATACTTAGCAAGTGGTAGTATACCTATAATGAAATTGTATACAAAATATACGTGGTTTTAGAAGACATATTTAAAAGTTACCAAAGTATGTAAAATTAAAAATCGTCCCATGTACCTATGTTATTTCCTCATATAGTATATATATGTATATCCACGTCAATTTAATATAAAATATAATCCAACCAACAAAGAAATAATGTAATTACGTGATGTTTATAATTTGAAATATTAACCGTGTATAAAATTAGAGTAAGTAGTAGGTAATAATAATACTATAATGCGATGAATATAAGACATCCTAAAAAAAAAATATTTTATATTTTATAAAAATGCATAATATTATATAGAACACGTATACCTACAATATCAAATATTATACATAGGTAATTAATTCTGTTATATTTAAATGCGTTTTCATAAAAGAAACATGATTTATAGGTACAATAGTGAAAAATCATATTATATACCTTTGACCTTTTGGCCTACGGGAAAACCAAATATAGGTCAACCGTTTCTGTCTGAACTCTGAATCCACTCCCACTTCCATTTGTAGGTACATACCATAACTTGCAAAATCGCTCCCTACACATCACGGCTGCGTATGTCAGCTTTTTTCCGGACCCTTTTTTTATGACAAAAAAAAGTCATTTTCATCAACAAATGTTCATATATTATACATTTCAGTATCACAACAGTGAACAAACTTTAGCAGACGACTCTTCTCCTATTATTATATTTATATTTTACGAGCGCAGTAAAAATATATATTATTATAATGTAGGGTATAATACTCTATTATATGTATATTGGTATTTGGTATATACAGCCATTAAAATATATTATATACATCACTCATACAGTCGTATCCAAGATCCGTTTAAAACAAATGACATAAGAGACTATAAACATATAAAATTGGTTTCACTGTTTCAACAAATAAAAATCCACCCCTCCCTCTATCCGACGATTCCGAGTCAAGGAAGGCTCTGAGCCAATATAACGTGATGCATTTTAAATTAAACCCATTTCCCATTTATATACTCTGTCCTGCCTGCACCTGTATCCCTCGCCACCGGATGAATATCAAAGCCTTGGGGGAGTTGTGTGTCCATGAATAAGTTATGAGCGTGCTAAAGGGTAGCTATATGGTGAACGTGGCTATATTATAATATACACGTACGATAGAACTTTTTCGTGCATACAAACACGTCATGATGTAAACGTAGGTATGCATATATTTATATTGGTACTGCATATAGCCTATAACAGCACAGCTACGTGTTGTTATTGTTCAATAAATTTATTGTAGTTTCGATTTTGGTTGGAAAAAGTAATACCTATACCTATATAGTATAATATGTGTGGTGCAGATAATGGTTTCTGTCAGCGATTTGTATTTTACTTATTGTGCACATCAGCTGTATATATAATAAATATAATATAAAACTATATACCTAACTATTATTTTGCGTTACCAAACACACGTAGAGGAATCGAAGAAAAAAAAAGTAATTTTGTGTTCGAAATAAAAACAGGGCGTGTTCTTTTAATATATAAGTCTAAAACCGGCAGGATAGTTTGAATTTCAACACGCCAAATGAAAGTCTGCCTAAACCCATAATCTCACAGAATTGCATAACCTTTACCCAAAGTAAAATACGATACGTATTGCAATGCTGCAAAAGAGAACTATGAAATCGCATAGTTTGAATTTTTTAATTAACTAATTATGTACTTCGTTTAATATAATATTCAACTAAATCAATAATATTATATAGATACAGTCTACATTAAACAATCCAGTTCTAGTATGATAATTGATATTTATGATATATTATTTAAATCAATAGTTTTTAATTTGAATTTTGTTGTAAGATTATGCAAACACAGCTAAAGTGTTATTTTTTATAAAAAATATTATTTGCCAACATAAAATGTATAAATATTATACTAAATACTAACGTGACTGAATTAGCACTTATACACAAGACTCATAAAATAAAAAGTGGATGGTTGGTTTATCGACAGAAATAGGGGATAGAAATATACAGGTAGTATAAAAGTGTTAGAAATATATTATATATCTTACATTTTCTGATACGAAAATGTCTAAAGAAGTAAAAAAAAGTGAACGAAATAATGAGTGTTCGTTGTTAAAAGGACAGAGGGCGTATGTATATATATTATATTATAGTTATTTTATATTTATATTAACAGCTAGAGTCCTATAACAGTCGTGGCAGAGACATGCAAATAACAACTCTGTAGGTACAAATGATATGGCGTTCTAACAACTGGATAGTTTTTTATTTTTAACAAAATTAAAACTCAAATGGTCAAATAAATATTATGTGAATTACGAAAGAAATAGGATCGGAGTATCGGACGACACACACACACGTAGATACTATACATATAGGTCATAAAGGTAGTTTGTAAACTGTAGATACGTATAAATGTATAATAAACCGTATGTGCACGAAGGTGTTGTATATAATATGGGTGTTCTGTACAGGGTCTGCTGGGCGCCTGGGCCCGGGTCGAACAGCAGTAAAAGTCTAGATGATATAAAACAACCATGGGCGCATTTTTAAGGCGATTTCGGTTGCGACTTTCGACGAGCGAACGCAGGCGACTATACGACTTTTTGTTATTGAGTTATGCAGGTATCCCGCCGATTGGTCCACGGAGTATATGGGTAATATAATACAGAACAAACACCGACCGCCGTTGCGGTATAAGTTTACTTAAGTGTATACTGTATATGTACATCCCGGCCGTGCGAGCACATACAATTCTATATACAAACGTAACCACCCATTGAGTTATAGGTTTAACGACTATAACGGGTATGATTTATGCTCGCGGGTATATCACGACGACAGAGTTATATACGCGAGGTGTGGAGGCGACAAAGGTCCAATCGCTGTACGCGTATATTATTATTATATTTTATACCGACGACGAGGAGACGAGACGTTATCATATCATAGCAGACCGTATCAGATTTCAATTTGGCCTTAGGATTTTCGAGTTACCCTGCACATAATATAATATTGTGTATAAATATATATACATACTGCAAGTACATGCATCATAATCTATAAATATATATATACAATGTATATGATAAACGATGGGAGGACGATATATTTATATAATATTATGCGTATATACGCATGCACAGGATATCCTATATTATATACATATACATACAAATATACGTTACGACGCGGCTACGGCGTTACGGCGCTATTGTTATTGAAAAAGCCATTCATAAATGTATTTTTTGTATGCATATATTATATTACCTATATTTATCATGGATTTATTTATTACATTGTATAAAATACGGTCATGGAGAATGGGGCATTTTTTTTTCTGCTGCAACAGTACGTTACATTGTTACCAATAAAAATATTTTAAACTAAGAAGGTTATAAAGATCGAGTACTACCCGAAATAAATATGGTGTGATTAATGTATATTTTTTTATTTTATCTTTCACCCATTATTGATGTATATTACATTGTACTGTTCAAAAATACCTAGTATATTATAATATTATATAGGTAGTATAATACTATAATATGAAGGACTACGTCAGACTAAATACATACAGTTTTACTGTGAATAGAAATAAATATAACACGTATGTAATATATTTAAATCTATACCTACTAGAACAAACTTTTAGAATATTATTATGCTTTTATGTTAACAAATGTACTTACACTCTTTTATTGAGCGATACTATACATATAAATAACATTTTCAAAATGTTTTGACCATCTAGTGCTTTTTATATTCTTCCACTCGTAAATTTATACCAATTATAAAGACATTATTTTAAAACCATAATGAGCTCAGGAATGCCGTTCTCTTATACTCCCTTGTGACAACCTGTCGTGCGTGTTATAGATATTTAACCTTACATAATTACTATATTATTTAGGTATAGCTATTCAGTCATTATGTTGCCTAACTTATGCAAAAGAATAGACTACCAAAAAGTTTAATTAGATAATACATTTTCGCATTTATAAAATAAGTAAAACTATTATAATATTTTCTTTGTATTCCATATTTCTATATTTTATAACAGAGCAAATTATGTAATTCTGTTGTAGTCTTTATCAATATTATACATTTTTATTATTAAATAAATATGTATATGAAAGTTATAATGGCAAAAGTCTTTGGTATTAATTTAATATTACTATCGCTAAGACCCTTCAATTACAATATTAATTGTATAGAATAGTTATTAATTAATTTGTGGTATATATCTAGGTAACTATAACGATGTATGTATCAAGACACTACGCAGATTAAGTTCATTATGTTTCAATCTTAGAATTCCAATCGATTTTAAGAAAGAAAATTTTAAAAATGTAAGTTGTATATAATATATACATGATATCCATATCCGAATGCGTGGCGTATTTGGGTATAGAGATCGATTTTATAAGTATTAAGTTTACGACGTTAAAAAATGTTCGTTAAATTTCCCGAGGGATGTCCTTTAAATAGGAGGCAGCACATTTATACAGTGATTCCATTAATCTTTTATTACGATGTAGGATACGTACCTCTAAAATTTCGTCGCCGACCCGTAAACATCCGGACTTCGCGGCCGGACCGTTGGGATTCAATCCGCAAACCATGACCGCCATTTTTGTTCGGTCCTTATGACCGGACAAACTAAGACCTAGACCGGAACCAGGAGATCTCTCCAACATAACTACCAACACTTCGCTGTTCGAACCACCGTCCCTGACTTCGCACAGATTTCCATACCTTTTCTTCGCTTTATCTAAAAATTAATAAAATTGTAATTAATGATAATAATTTATAGTTATTAAATGTATTATATATACGTATATAGTTAATAATATTTCATTATAAAAAAAATGATAATATTATCCTTATAATAAATATCCAACGCAGCGTAGGTACAAATAACTTATTATTTTGTTGATTTTAAAAATTATTATTTATAACTTAAAAGACAAAATAGTTTTATAAGAATTTCAATATAACCTGCAGGTAGGTAATAAGTAAAGACCGGATTTATATGTTTTTACATATCGTTACTGGGTCCATGCAGTCTTATGAGAGTAAAAAATGTGGACGATTCGTTCAATTCTGAATGCGTAGAAAAAAGTTTTTTTTGCATATTTGAGAATATTTCATGGGTTGGAGAATATTTAACCCATTTAGCATATTTTGGAATATTTCGTAAATTGTGAGCAAAAATTTGTATTTATATTATTAATTTTAATATTACGGTACTCTGAAAAAATTTTTTTGACCATTTACAATTTATTTTTTTTTTTTTCATTTTGATGAAAATAAAACACGCAGTATTATCAAGGTTTATCTATGTATATCTACTGATAAGATCAACTTATAAGTTTATCAATTATTCAAATATCAAAATTTTGTTATTGTGTTTTAATATTACCTATACTGTTATATTTATATTATATTCCAACTTCTTACTCTTGCTAAAGTGCAATGCTATTCCATTAGGTATAATACGCAACTCTTAATAAAATTTTAAAAAATAAATGCATATTAAAGCATATAATGATGTTTTTTGATTATTTTTGCATATTTTTAAAATTTTTGAGAAAATATAATGAGAATATTTGAAGGTTTTTTAGAGAATATTAGCATCACATCTTGGGTATTTTAAGAGAATATAAATCCGGTCTTTAGTAATAAGTATAGAATACTGAACCATTAAACCAATAGTTAATTATTTAAAAGCGAATAAAGTATTAAGTATATATGAACCACAAGTGAAATATTATAGTGCACCACAAATTTAAGTGGTATTCATCACTACCATTCTACTTGTTTATTCGGACGGCAAATAAACATTAAAATTTAAATGAACATCAGAACATTATATAATATACAATATTAAATTGACGTAAACAATCATAAGCATAACAACAATGATAGTGGATAATAAATGATGCATTTTAAAACCATTAACACAGTAAATAAACATGGGTATAAGATATAAATTATAGATTAATACATTTCAATATTTCTTAGCCATTCTCGGTTGCTTTAAGAGTCAAATTTTGGACCTGTTCAAGTGTTTCTAATACACTTTCTTTTAGATTAGTTTTATAAAATGTGTGCTAAGCTCTGAATAAGGCGATCTCTGTCACAGGGCGGATTAGGAACAATATCCAATTAAATGAGATTTCCATATTTCCTATATAAACCCATGCAAATCCACGGTTTTAAGTTGATCGTTCTTTCCGGGGAGATTTTAACCTGAATCTATAGACACTCCTATACTCACAGGGTTTTTAAATGGAGTATATAAAGGCGCTAGCGTGAAGGTTCCAAATGTTTTTCCAGTTACTAGCACATTGTAGTACCTATAGCTATCGTTGTTAAACGAAACAGAGGTTTCCAGGGGAGGGGGGCGAGATAAGTAAATTACAACCCAACCCAACAACTAAATTTGGAGTAATCATAGATCGATAAACTGGAGTCATTTTGCATTTAGTCCATTATTTGAGCAACGCCTTTTTGTGCTAAAGCTGCGAAGGGGTTATGATAGAGCCACGATTTAAAATATTATTGTTGCCCAATGAGCTACGATAAGACGGCATAGGATTTAAATGTTGATTAATTCATAATATAATACGATCATTATACATATTTGTATACTATTTATATAGGTAGGTATAACATAAAAAATTTTTTTAGTTTTTATTTTAACCGATATGAGCGCTATATGCGAAAACAGTCGCAAAGCACGTGACTTTTGGATTTAAATCCTATGCCATGTAATAACATTTTTCTAATGGGTCGTTGGGCAACTATATACTATCTTAAATCGGGGTTAGAGCTGAGGTGGTTAGAGCTGAGGGATGAATAACCATTTTATAAGGGTAGATTTAATTGTTTCTGTAACGATGCGCGTGCTTTGATTGAGACTATATAGCATATCTTTCTCTTTTTTGACGTTAGCTAATTATTTAATCAAACTTAATCACAATATTCGGCGACTAAATCCACTATAGCAATAACAGAAGTTGTAAGTGTTGAGAAGTCAGCACTGCAATCTGCGTCGCTATATGTTTTTGAACATTATTGTTGCGGGAGTCGATCATATTACCGTAACATTAGTTAAATAGTTTTTAAACAAGAGCGTAACACTTAAGGCAGTACTTTGGGCAAAGACCATGCTTTATGCCGTGTTCAGGGACTATTATTTCTAAGCTGAAATTGTACATATTGCTATTTAGTTGAAATACTAGCTGTAGTTTCAGTTTTGCTGGAATTTGATGTAAGTCTCCGCTGTTTGAAGTATTTATCTATAAAGTTTGGAAATTAGAGTGAAACACATTTTAAAGCATCAAAAATATTTTCCTACATGCGATACGGATATCATCCGGGTTTACGAATACTTAAGTAACATTACTGAGTATATCGATAGTGTAGAGTGGTTGAGCAATGTAACGCGGCAAAAACGGACGTTAAGGAATTTAATTTGGACCATATTATGTTTTTTTCTTACTTTTTTTTTATCGTTGTTGAGGTGGACGCTATTATGGCGCAAGTGGTTACAAAGTATGTTTTTCAGAAAAATTTCATGGAGTTATCCAAAAAGCTTTTTTCCATACTGTATCGTAGGCAGCTGTTATTAGTAGGTCAATAACCGCTGTGGAAGTTTTTAAGCGGATTTTTAAGATATATGTATTTAAACGGATAAATGTCAACAATCAACACCACAACACCTTCTGTTACTGATGAAGCTGACAGGCTGCTGCAGCATCATGAACACTGATACAGGATGTACTTAAGATACTCATATATTTTACAGCACCGTTGCATATCGACTCGAGTTCAAAATGTAATTCATTGATATACGTGCGGAACAATATATTAATTAATCACAGTGCCGTAGCAACCCTTTATCATTGCGCCTCTGGCAAAAAAACAAAATTTTGCACACTCTGTGTTACCTGTGTTTGTCAATACGTTGTATGTAGTCTAGGAGGTCTGCCTCTCCAACGAAATAATTCATAGGTACGTGCTTACTTTTAATTGTTCAATAATAAGTACCACTTTCACTGGCTATACAATGCAGTTTAATGGCCCAACTACACCCTTGCGGTTTTTTTTAAAACAAATAATTTGTATGCCTTAAATTATGGTATAAAAATAGTTTTTCGGAAGACATTATTGTAGAAGTGTTAGCAGCTGTACCTATATGTTAATTAAATAGTAAGTATTGCGCTCAACGCATAACACTACGCTGTGGACTGCGTGTTAGTGATAGGCGCTCTTTCATTAAATTACTATTTTCCTCTCCTATAGGTAGACTATTTATACTTCTCGGGGGTTCTTTGACAGGAGCCGTCAGGCATAAAGGGAGCGACTACTTGTTATGCTTTAACTTTCCCTTAATAGGTTAAGTAGCAAAGTCGAAATTTCGAGTATCCATCACTAATACAGTTCAGAGCAGTGTTATGCGTATAACATAATGTATATATAATATTGCACTCTTTATGACAGTATATCTAAGTACAATCTGCTGTTAAACGCATTTACGCGTTTCGCATTAAAACGATTCTAAAAACAAATGCTTTACTTGCAATTTTGTATGAATAAATTATAAATATCGTGGATGGGTTTTGTGTCCTAATAATTTCTGCGCCTTTGGCGATCGCCCATGTCGCCAACCTCTATAGCTAAACACGGCACTGATTAATTACACCGAGTTATCGAAAAACAATGAACGTCGTGAAAACGCCCATTGTTGCGTCGATGCGAATAATATGGCATCCGGCCGAATCTGCAGTGCCGGAACACTGTGATGTTTACTGTGCATGTATAGAGAACACAGGAAATACTAACTACTGAGGCTCCCAATAAACATGAATATATAATATTATGCACTTTGAAAACAACAGCGTTAGAACTTTAATTTCAATCCTACACGAGTAAAGTTTATAAATTTATCGGTATAATATTATGCTCTGTCACAGATGAAATACTGCAAATACGCATAATTACACATCTTCACAATAGTACAACTACCTATACCGAATGTACAATATTTAATCTATATACGGTATACCAACTTACTTTAAAATACAATAATCATGGATACGGATCCAGTTATTATCTTGTTTTAATTTATCGATTTACATGTAATTAATAAATGCAGTTAATTAGTATCTACCCTTAAGAGTTAAGAACATAATGTAATAATCTTGTAAAGAGCTATAACACATGTTATTTGTTAACGTTATGTAGTTTATATTGATGAACGGTTGAAGGGTAGGTAGGTAAATAGAGCAAAGCCCTTCACTTCTAATTTTCAAGCGATAAATCCTATAGAAACGTCATATTGGTAGTATGTCAGTTGTGTATTATTTAATGAATGATATTATATAATATTATTTCTTAAAATTCAGTACTATCATTATTGTAAATTGATTGGTTTAATTATATTTGAATACAATTACACAAATCAAAAAAGTAATAACTATAAACGTTTTATGTAATATCAATAGCCATGTCATAAAAATGTATACAGTTTAATTTAACTGCAGTAAATTGTACTTCTACTAACACGCAACTTTTCATATTATTATAGTTAGTTATTAATTGTTTTGTTATCAAGGTGAAGTAAATAATAAATTGGATAAAAGTTTCATTTTGGTAACCATTTATGGAAGTTTATTTTTGTACTGGTCTAACCACTTTATATTACGGATCAGCTTAGTATAGGTTATTCATTTTTAAAATTGAATCTTCTAAAATGTGTTTTAT